CGTGGTAGCCTGAAAAAAAGATCGTGAAGACTGGTGGCCTCATCGTGCATCGAAAACAGAGACAGCCGTTAACGTTGGTAAACATCTTAAGTTATTTCGTCTGATACGGGAAACAGGCAGCAGGAGATCTAGTGTTAGCCAGACGATACACAACGAGTGGACAGCCGATCCACAGCTTGTCAAAACTCATTGAAGCGTTGGGCCGAACACTTTGAGAAGCAGTTCAGTCAGTCCGAGTTGTCAACTACTAAATCGGCCATTGATCGCTCCATTTCTTGGGCCGTTCCCCTGGATCCGCCCTCAAGCACAGAGATTGAACGCGAGATCAGACTTGAAATTGCATAAGGCCGCAGGGGTAGGCAGAATTCTACCGGCCCTCTTCAAATTCGGCGGACCTGCTCTTGCAGCTGATCTACACAAGTTAATAGTGAAATCGTGGGAGCAGGAAACTGTTCCAACAGTGTGAAGCCGCTCAGTTATAGTCCAAATTCTCAAGGAAGGCTCCGGTTCCGAATGCGGCAAACAAAGAGGGATCAGTCTGATCACAACTGCCTTTAGAATGCTTGCTTCTGTCGTTCTACACAGAGTGACTGGCACTAGTGAAAGTCAGAGTCGCGAAGAGCGAGCAGGGTTTCGTCAAAATCGAGGCTGCATCGACCACACCTTCAGTTTACATAAACTGTTGGATCACCGCCATGTTTATTGGCGACCCACTGTTGTCCTGTTTCTCGACATAAAAGGTGGCTTCATTTCGGTGAACCAATACGCTCAGGAAAAGTGTTCTCCAAAAATACGTAGCCGTTATCAAAGGACTGTACGTGTATAGTTCGGGTAGATTGAGGGTTTATCGCAAACTGTCGCCGCCCTTCAATATCTCCAACTATCTGAGACAAGGTTGCTCGCTGTTATCTTTCCTCTTTAATTTCGCCATTGACGAAGTCATGGAAACAGCTGGACACGACTTACAAGGTGTGGAGCTGCTTCCTTGTGAACGAGTTCTTGGCTTGGAGTATGCGGATGGCATTGCACTCATATGTGACGCAGCAGCAGCAGCAGCAGCACTGGACAAATTAGCACTGGATGTCAATTGTTTTGGGCTATGCTTTGATCACTCGAAATGCAAAGTCATTCTCCAAGATTGGCAAAGGACCCTTGGTGGTGATCAGCTAGAAGTCGTTCAGGAATTCAAGTACCTGGGTAGCTATTTTAGCGCCCGTAGGATTGAAGATGAGGTTAAGAAGCGTATAGCAAAACCCGAGGTGCTTTTGCCAATCTCCGCCACCTGTTGCGCAGACGCGAGGTCACTCTCGTACTAAGGGGCAGTGTTTATAATACAGCCATCCGTTCAAACCTTTTATACAGTTGTGAAACCTGACCCATCAGGTCGACAGACATCAAGAGGCTAGCTACGTTCGATCATCGCTGCCTTCGCAGCTTAGCTCATGTCTGACGGGAACAACGCGTGAGCAGTGAGTGTTCAGCGTCGCGTATTTGGTGTAGGAAGAGAGCGAACCACTTAGCATTGCTATGTCTCGCACTAGGCTCCGATGGTTAGACCACGTGTTGTGCATACCAGCACACCAACTCCCGCGACCTTGGTTGTTTGTGCGTCCCGGGCCTGGATGGAAGAGAAGGACGGGAGGTTAACCAATAACTTGATCAAGAGGGATGAAAACCCTCACTTTGAAGCTGGTGTTGGTTGGTGCATCGCGACTGCTTGGCTGAGGACCGAAGGACGATGAACGCGTTTGGATGGATATACCGACTGATATGGCTAGGAGCCGCCCCAATGGGGCTTGTTTTGAGTTACTTTGCCGATCCCCTCTCCTTTAGATTCCCCTTCCAATTAGGATCTCATAGCAGATGAATAATATGACATTTAATAGCATATTTATTGCTTTATTTGTAGTGGAAATTTTAATATCTTGTTTTTTTGTATTGCAGCACATCAGCTGAGGGGTGTTTCTCACTAGCAACTAACGTGTATTGATGATGACGATGATGACTTGTCCTTCTAAGTTGGATCAAGCAGATATTACCACCCATTCTATAATGAGACTTCTTGATTTAGATCCGTACTGCTCGCCCGGCCACGATGGAGTACACCACTTATTTCTCCGGATTGTCAGATTTTCCATCGCTCCTTGGAAGCCGGACGTCTCCCTTCAGCTAGAAAAGTAGAAATCGTCAAACCCATCGGCAAGATCCAGCCAGTTATCGTCTAACCCGCTTAAGGTTGATAGTGGGTAAAGTTATGGAACGAATTCTGAAACAGGATCATCATCGCTATCCCAAGGAACTGAATGTCATCTCTTGCGCTCAGCATGATTTTCGAAGGGCACGGTGATGTACTTAAACTTGATCGTTGGTAAGAAAAAAATGCGCAAATTCGATAAGCGCTGGGACGTTGTGTTTGTTGATTTCATTAAGGCTGAGAATCTTCTCTGTTGGATTTCCGATTTCCTAGACGACCGCACTACGTAGATGAAAGTGAACGAAACTTTTTCTCTGATTCTCACAGGGTTCTGTCACCGGCCCTGAACTTTTAACATGTTCGCCAAAGAGTTGCCGTCCGCATTACAGATAGACTTCTTAGTTTACGCTGACGATATGAAGCTGTGGATGGAGGTATCCAGCTTGGAAGATGCTGACAGATTACAATCGACGCTCCACCTGCTTCACGATTGGTCGATAAAGTGGTAGTGGCCGCTAAATCGTGATAAATCTTCTGTTTTGTCAGTTGGTGCGTCTAACCCATTTGGTTCCCTGCTCAAAAACATCACTCATGAGAAAGACCTAGGAGTGAAAGCGTCCCTAGACCACAAATCTATTTCGAAAATACCGTAGAGTGTAGACGCTGCCTACAGGATGTCGCATGCTATACGTAGAGCGTTCTCCCGCCTCATTTTGGAGTCCTTCTGACTTCTATTTATCTTACATGCACATCTGACCCTCGAATACGGGATACCCGATGTCTATGCTGACACCAAAACCAACGGCTCAGATCTAAATCCGTCCTTGAGTTGTGGGACTTGTCCTATCCCCTTCGGCTTCAACGACTGAAGCGGTTCTCTTTTGAATATCATCGTCGCTTCGGATACTTGATTTTCACCCGACGTATTCTTAGTAGAGACTTGGAAAGTGAGTTACAGGGATTCATCCAACCAAATACTGAAAGTTCGACAGGTGACAGTCTGAAACTGTTCAAACAGAGCAGTCTCTGAGTACACCCAATCTGACCCTATACGCTGGCATAGTGAATGAATTAGAGTCCACTATGGACGCCCAGACTGAGGAACGTTTGAAACGACGGATGGATTCTTATCTGAATATGCTTGGATTTTGCTGTTTCCAATGCAGCCGCAGCGGTCCTCTGCAGAACTTTGTTTCGCAACGGCACAAGCGATCACGGTAATGATCGGGAAGTGATGGAGCTGACAAAGGATCATCCTTCTGCTCTCTATCATCCAGTGATCCAATAGCAGTCTCTGGTCACAAGTCCTTTCTCTTGTCGAATATAACTGATACAAGTTTGTGGGACTGCCACGGGATAAGCAGAAGAAGCAGTGGTGCGACGCAGATGGTGAGCTGTGCGATGTCCCACCAGAATGATTCGGGACACAAATCACCTCGCTTAGAAATTTACGGAGAATCGAGTGTGACTGTATGCAGTCTGCGAACAGATACCGCTCACTAGCAACAGTAATGATGAGTGTGCATAAAACAGCTGTAAAATCCACGCGCTTGCAGTGACCAAGACTCGTTCTGATTGTTAAGTACTATGACGATCCGATATTTTGATTGTAGAGCTTTCAGTAAACTAAAATCTGGAGCATATCAAAAGACAGGTAGAACCAACCAATAAACGTACCGACGGATGAGCGGAGTTGGTATATTCTGGCGTCCCAAGTACCGCAGGTCACCGAAGATCGTTCTGGCGCTATAAATTATTGAAACAACCCTTGTGTTGACGTGGATGTTTCGCCAAAAGCACCATAAAAAGTCTCAAGATCAACTTTATCATCATCAATATACGTTAGCTGAGGGTGAGAAACACCCCTCAGCTAATGTGCCGCAATACAAAAAGAACACAGTACAAAAGATTCAAGAAGTGAATAATATAATGTTAAATATTATGTCACATTAGATCGTGATCGGAGGGGGAATATAAAGGAGAGGAGGGTGGACAAAGAAACTCACAACACGAACGCCAATGGAGCCGGTTCTTCGCAATATCAACAAGTATGTCCAACCAAACGTGTTCACCATTCTTGGGACTCCACCCCGGTAGTCGTGATGCACCAACCGACGCCACTTTCGAAGTGAGGGCCTTCATTCCGCTTGACCAAGTCATTGCTTGGCCTCCCCTCATATTCCATCCACACGCCGGGCGTGCAAATAAGGCACGACGTGGGAGTCAGTGGGCTAGCATGCACAAGACACAACACAAGACAAATGCCATGGTAAGGATTCTGGAGGCAGTGATCACCAATCGATAATATTCAACTCTGTGCGAGGAAAAAAACAACTTTGTACAACGAAGCTCCTTAGAGTCAAAGAAACTCATCTCCAACTAGTGGACTTATACTGCATGTGTTGACAAGCGCCTCTCTCTATAAGGACCTACGCACATCAATGTTGCTAGTTTGCAATTGACGAGATGGCACAAAGTGATGCCAGCTTGCAGTATTTGGCTCCTGAATGTTCTATACGGATGTAAATGGAATCGTCAGAGACAATCAGTTAGTGCTGATTATCTGGAGTGAAAACATTCGCTAACAAAGGCTACTGATCAATAAAAGAATAGGGGGTAAGCAGTTATCGTAGTCGACAGTTGTCAGACACGAGCACAGCTTTCGAAGCACATATTCCTTTACCATGTAGCTTGTGAACTAGTGGGATGAAAGCCTTAAAATTATAACTAAAATCCGGCTACTTAAGAGTGACACATTCCTTTGGTTGGCGCAGAAATGTGTCCAGAATAGACAATGACTCCCTACCTGTACTTCCGTGAGAACGTAAAACACTTTCTGTTGCAGAAGCGTTTTTCTTCGTGGATCAGGCATGAACCGGAACCCATCCTCTGCGGATAAACGCGCTTCTTTCAGTGGAGGGAGATAATTGTCCTGCAAACGCATTAATAATGGGTTCGGTAAGATAAGTACCGGATTCGGTTGACAAAATGGAATCGAACTGGCCGCGTTTAAGTATGCTTCCAAGTAAGCAGGCGTTACAATGGGTACAAGCTTCAGTAAGGCGCAAACAACCTGTAATGAGGAATAAAACTAAAAGGTTATACTTTAGCCGTGACAACTAAACATGGCATAATCAAGAAGGAGCATTCCTCCAGAGAGTTCATTAGGTGTCCGCGTAATTGGGCCACAAGAGACTTCACAGTCTGTTTGGTGATTCGGTCCATCGAAGACACAGCTACATTGAAGGCTTGCTGCCGTAGACTGTACAAATATGGCGACAGTGAATATAACAACCTACACTAATGCGATCCCTGGTTGTGCCCCAAAAGTTATTTTGTCCCCAGAGTGCAATTCAAGTTGACGGTCTGTGAGTGCAGCACCGTTGACACTGGTTCCGAATCGGGATAGGTCTGTTAGCAGGAACCGAAAATCGTTACCCTACAAAGATGTTGTATAGGTAGATAGAAACGGTACGCTGGGAAGGACCTCCAACACTGCATGTCTCCGGCTAACAGACTTGTCAGAGATACAAATGTCTGCTTCCACACGCCCGATGGTCAAACGCCGGACGTTCAGTAACTTCGCACACACTCCATTATCTAAGGTTAAACATTATCACCATCAAATGAGAAAGACAAACCTGATCCAGTTTTATCGACATGCACTAGTTCCCACATAGTATTCGATCCACTACTAACAAGAGCGCGTTTCTGAAAACAAAAGGAAAAATAGACGACACAGTAAATTGTAGAATAGAGGTTTGTAGATTATTCATTGACCAGAAACTTGATTAAAAACTTGTAGACTGATTGCTGGGTCTTGTAACGTTGAGAGAGCAACTCCGAAACTCCCAACTTATGGGTTGCCCTCATGAAAATGATCGCCTGCTGATTGCTCATGCACTCACCAGCAACGTGGCAGCGATGTCATAACCTTTATTAACGCTTCTTGGCGCTTATCAGTGAAAAGCTACTTATGTTACTCGGCACAAGGTATCGATTGCTTGGTCCTAAAGTGTAACCCAAAATATATGTATGGGTACAGCTCAAATTTACTGGGCAATATTTATATGTCCCAAGTTGACCCAAATCAGACACAGAGAAATTTTACGATGATTTTACGCCTGCTGTTATCGGGAAAGTCAACCAGTCTCTGTGCATACTTTATGCTGATTTTAATAGAGTTGATCCAACGCTGGTCGTGCCTAGGTCATTCAATTAGCATATATTTGCATCAGTCTACGAGTAGACAAAGAGTAATCAAAAACCATGGAAATCAAAGGAAGGTACAGCTGGCATAAAAGAGAAAAACAGAAATCCACGTTTTCATCAGACGGCGAGATACTACCCGGTTGGCCAAGTCAAAGTAGGGTGTTGACTTAGGGGACACCACACCGAGCTTTCGGCTAAATGGCCTGTGTTTCGTTCCCTTGAGACTAGTTCGACCAAGGAAATGAGTGATAATGGCATCTACGTGCTTAAACCGGGGCAAAAGTGTTGCCTCTCGATCAAAGGCCACGCAGTGCTCTATTTGTGAGGGATGGCTGAATATATCATGCTGTAAGATTGAAGCTTAGCTCTAGGAATGCCTAAAACAAACGAAGTGCTTGGCTCTTATTCTTCACTGTGAATACTGTCGAAATGTCATGAACAAATAGTCACTCCTCGCTATCCTGACCCCTTCTATATTACGATCCAAGCTTAAGCAGACGACCTCGGCCTAATAGTGTATCCTCGACGCTCTTTCTGTAGTGGGGGTCTTCTAATCTAGCACAAAATCGAAGCCGTCTCCCCTACTTCCTCAGAAGGGACACTACTATCACAAGGTAGCGCGTCTGCAAAGACCAGTTGGATACAACTATACCAAAAATCAAAAAGAAGAGCCATGCGGCTGTGGCGAGGATGAACGCTGCAGAAATCTTAGCCAAGAACCAGGTTAAAAGACAGACGATGAAAAAAACAACTTCAGGGCCTGAAGCTAGGTCAGGCCTAATACAATTGAAGCTCATTATTGACAAAGTTAGTCAACTAGAAAGACTTATTAAAGAAAAGCAAGTTCTACAGAAGCGGGATCTCTCTGGAGAAAACAAAGCGCCTCATGATCGTTGCTTAATAATTACGAATGCTCTTGAATCTGACAAATAATCATCCTCTAAAGGAATTCTTTACGACCAAGCTAATTTGAAGCGGATGGTTTCCCCTCTATTCGATGAAGGCGAGCTGAGTATCAACGTCTGTTTTTCGACTCGGTAGGAGACATGATGATCATTCCAAGACTCAGCCACTAAAATTCGTGTCTTGTAAGCTTGACGGCGCCGGTGCGAGCCTGCGTAGGGGCAATGCGACCCTCGCAGTAACTCTAGCCCACGTGCGACCGGTGGTGGTTGCGTGGCAGCGAAGCGTCAGTACTGCGTACCAGCGTACTGCTCATGTCAGGATGAGGAGGAATGTCGCCACATCCTCAGGCGTGCCACGCGACACAAATAAGAAACCTTTGTCCTGAAAGACCTTTCTCTAGAAGATGGAGTCAGAATGAAACAAGCCATCAACGAACTGAAAACCCGACGGGGGAACGGCGAAACGGACCTCCATATCGTGGATTCTTGTGTAGCTCAAAAAATCCAGAGAACTTGCTGGAAACCAATCCCACTTCTAGCTAGCCCCAAAAGCTTAAATAGCGGATTGCGAGTAATATTTGCCGATGTATGCGGCCATAAAAAGAAACTGGAGATTCCACTACACAGTACTAAGCAACAGCCAGATCTACTGTCTTTCACTGAGAGATGGTTGTCTCCAGAGATTCAGGATGCGGGGATCAGCATATCAGAATATCAATTCTCACAAGCTGATCGCTCCAGTGGGCAGACTGGGGTGGAGTAATTCTCTACTCGAGGTTCTGCCTCAAAGCACACACTATCAAAGCTGTCTGCGACGAGGGAGTCTCAGAAATATCGTGGTGCGGGATTCATGATGGCTATCAACAACACGTGATAGGGGTGGCTTACAGAGCCCCGAGGAGCTCAGGCATTCGCTTATCACATTCGGTAAAAACTGATGGTAGAGGCAGGAACTGTCTGCTCATGGGCGACTTGAATGCACCCACTGTAGACTGGAACCAACTTCATCGTGATCTTCACCAAGATTACTTCGAGGCCGGCCTTCTCGATGCTGTTCATTAAAGCAATCTGATCCAGCATGTTTCAACACCAACGCGGATGATGCCGGTTCAAACACCATACATTCTTGGTCTCGTCCTCACACTGGCGCTCTCTGATGTCTGTGGCCTGAGGACACTCTAACCACTTGAGCGCAGTAAACACTGTACAGTCTCTGTTCGGGCATGCAGTCTTGCTTACCATGACCAAAGGACACGTCGTAACTTCTGGTGTGTTGTAACCAGACTGCAATAAGTGGCAAGCACCACAAACTAGGACATCTTGCAATCCCTGAAGATTGACGAGGCATAAAGCGCTCGAAGAGAATGTCGGTCATCGTAAAAGTTTTACCTACCACCAAAGGCAGGCCAAACCCCCAAGGTCCCCTTTGGATCGACCGAGAGGGTAGATCCCTGATGAACAGGCGAGGCAAACTGTGGGACCTATTAAAGTTAACACAAGCAACATCAGACTACTTGAAGTAAAAGGTGATCAGAAAGGTGTGCATCCTAAAAATGCGCAAGAAACGGACATAATACAAACACAGCTTGGTCATTTATTCACGAACCTGTCCATAGAAACTGTTCTCGTACCTGAAGCGAGACACAAAGACGAGCAGTGGTAGTCCTGCTATATCATGCCACGAGGAATATACGGTGCTCTACGAAGATGACGAGAAGGCTCACCCACAAACCTCCCAGTACTCCTCGATCTACTCCGTGGAACCATCGTTAATAGCTGAGGATCTTCCAACGCACTACCGTCCTTTCAAGCAAGTCGAAATCAATCTCGAGATAGTGAAGACTCATCGAACTGAACCCAAACTAGGCACCGGGCCTTGATGGACTTCACCCGTTATTCTTCAAGATGATAGCAGAATACATTACCGGTCACGTCTGTTAATCCAGGTGTCACCAAAGTATCGCTGACCTACATTCCAACATATGGCTAGTGAACTATCAAGCAATGCATACCAACGCTTCTGATTTACGTTGCGAAATCTCGGTGGCCGATTCGGCTCAGACTACCCGGGATAAATTTAAGTCTTATATCACGGCCGGCCCGTAGCCTAAAGATAACGAGCTTGTAATCTGACGGGGCAGGTTCGAGCCTGCGAACGGACAGGGCGACCGTCGCAATATCATTAGCCACATGCGACCGGTGACTGCGCAGCAGTGAAGCATCGCTACTGCTAATACCTCTCGTCTTTTTCTATCCCGCGGAAGTGTACTCCCTACATCCCACTTGCGAGGAAAAAGGGACACGAGCACAGTCCCTGTGGACAGATACCACTGACAAGTACCTGTACCAGAAGCGCTCTATGTGCTGGAGGATTTACCGAGCCCATCCATCAACTAGCACCTATGATAGGTACCGCGAGGCTAGAAATAGATATAAACAACACTTGAGAAAAGCTCGGCTGTTGTATGATAAGAGGTTGGCTGATGGAGCTTACTTTAAGAGGTGCTGTGGTTCAAATTTGGCCATCCCAACTTTGATACAGGCCAATAGAACTCATGCGTATTCACACTCTGAGCAGTATGTAGGGGTTTGTGTACGTGAGGCTGCGTTGAACTTGTCCCTAGAGTCCCTGGGGGTTCTTATTTAGCTAAATATACTGTGATAGAAATGCGAGTCCTTAGGCTGCTACAAAAATTGAACCCTTCTAAAGCAGCTGGGGCTGATTCAATCCATCAGGAGCTTCTGCATGAGTTGGCGACGGAACTAAGTGGACCGTCGACGACGGTGTTTCAGAAGTCACTTGGCAGCTGCACATTACGTTCTAAATGGAGGGAGGTTGTCATCTGTCCTATCTTCAAAAGTTGCGACAGGAGTCTGTCAGCCATCGTAGTCAAACTGCTTGAAAAGCTGGTAAGGGATTGGTTGGAGGGTCCACTGAATATCTTTAATCTGCTCAGTGCAGACCATGGATTCCGGAAGAGGTGTTCATGTCTGACGAATTTGTTGGTTACTCAGGAAATTCGGACTGAGGTAGAGAATAATGATCACGTCGTCGACGTGCTCTCCGTCGACTTCTCGAAAGTATTCGAAAGGTACCCCATTTGAGGCTACCATAAAAGCTGAGCTCCTTCGGTGTTTACGGACGCATTCTTCACTGGGTATTTGCATTCCTTGCAGGAAAGAGAACAATATGTCAGTTGCTCATTTGTTCGACGAGCTGCGAAATTGGTTTGCAAACGTTTCACCGTCATGCGAGACGGCATCATCAGTGCGTCGAGATGTCGAGTGCAATCTCGCTGATTGAATTGTCGACCCGTGATCGGCGTGCAGGTGACATTTCGAAAGTGACGGCTTCGATCTGTGTCCCGTGATCTCTACCCATTTCCCCGTGGCGGAGGTCGTCGCTTGGTTGTTCCTATTCAAGCGGCGTCTCATAATTTCCCTAAGTTCTCTCCGTCGGAGGGGTTGGTAAACTGGGTCAATTTCGATATGCATGTTGATCGAGTCTTGTGTTGAGAACCACGCTTCCAGGAATTCCCTTGCTCTTCTTGTTTCGCCTCGTGCCAGGACTTCTGTTTTGGCCCAATCAAAGCT